CCTCTAGGGGTCCCCCCTATTCAAAGAAATTTTCGCTCCAGACATCCTGAGCAAAATGTTTGCTCCGGCTCGCCGGAGGAATCGTGTGGCGCACACGGAGTACTTTTAATAGATATTTCACTACGGCTGAGGGGTACGATTGTGTGGCGCCACCGGAGTATTTTTACTGGCATTTTTCTCCGGCTGGCTGGACTGATTACGCGGCGCCTCTAGAGCACTTTTTGCGCGTTTTTCACTCCGGCTATGCGGAGCTTTTATGTGGTACCTCCGGAGCCTTTTACGAATGTACTCACTTCGTCCATACAGAATTTCAGTTAGGTAGACCACTACTTAATAAAGCGTTTGCTCCGCTGTCTATTTATTGTATGCTGATTGTTTCACGCAAAGGTTAGATGAAGGAAGTCACAATTATCATGCACGCACTGCAGAGGTACTGTGTATTCTTTTCCACAGAGTTGTAGCAGATGAAATTCAAGAAAACACTTGAGTTCTTATTCTTTAGTTTATTCAAAAGAAGGTGTCATTTCTGGATTACCCAGCATTAGCGAAAAGAGACAAGGACAACACACATCGAAAAAGCCACAAAAACAAAACACAATAAGACAGATCTCACGAAATCAACAGCACTCAAGTTTGAAGCGCAGTGCTTCAAAATGAACCCCATATTGCTGCAAAACGAAGCACGACAAACGAAGAAAGCGTGGCCACCGAGAACAACTCTTCACCATCCCCGAAGTACCATCCATCAGATTTATTAACGACGCAATACTTCAGCTGATTGCTTCATGCATAATATAGCAAACAATAATTATTCATGAGAACTGAAAATCATGCGAGAGGCACAAAAATTGAGAACACTGAAGCCACGGACACTCAGTAAATCCTATACAGTCTGTGAGTCTATAAGAGGAAAAAACCTATAAAACTGGCCCCCCCCACACAAACACGCACGCATGCACGCACGCACGCACGCACGTACGCACACACACACACACACACACACACACACACACAAAGAGAGAGAGAGAGAGAGAGGATTAGTTTGAATATCAAAAAGCCCATTCGGTGTAATCCGGTGTGAGAAGGCCGCAACATGATAAAAACAGACCACCTGACACGAACGAATTTCACACCTGGCCAAATTTTTTCATACATTTGAAAATCGATAGCTCTACTTTTGCTGAAACATTCTAAAGCAATTTTTGACTAAAATAACATTATCTTGGTGCTCTCGTAGACGGCATTAGGAATGCTCCTCTTTATCATTTCATAATTTTATCAACTAATACTTCTGATTATTACAGTCGCACTTTAGTGCGTGCTCATCGTCATTCTTCCAGCAAAGTGGGTCCTTACACTTTGCACGGTTGCGGCCTGTCTTTAAAGAAAGACTAGCTTCATCTCCTTTGAAAAATAATTTTCGAGATACGTTGGCATATTTTTAATTCACACTGGCCACTTTGTTTGGATACTTGCCGTTGTGAACATTTTTCCAAGTAGATATTGCAAGAGCATGTATTTCAAGACAAACAGCTTCAACCACAAAATAAGGAAATGTTCACTACAACGTAACAAAACAAATACGCAATAAAAGGCACGAACATTACGCCATCCAAGCCAACTGCATTTTCAGAGAAATAAGAGAAGGTCATCCAGTTTGCTCAACGAAAAGGTCCGTGCAAACATCCCGAAGCCACAGAAGGTGGTGTAAGTGGAAGCGTCACGACGTGCGAGTGCATCCTCTTCGAAGAATTTTTGTTTTCCCATCTTCTGCTCACAGGCCAGCGTCGTTGAATTTCCCAGGTCAAAACTACATATCAGCACTGTCCATACTCCGGTCTTCCCCCCCCCCTCACCCCCCCAAAAAAAGTGCAGCCACAACCACTGCACCACCACTGAAAAGAGGGAAAAAATCACGGCATATCCACGGAGTGAATGATGATTAGTGGGGCGAAGCCGCCGTCAGCCCATCCGTGCTTCCATTCATCCGTTCGTTATTGTTTTCGTCCGTCCACGTGACAATCCGTGCGTCCATTCATGCGTCCGTCCATTTGTTCATGCGTTCATCCTTTTGTACGTTCGCGCATCCATCCATCTGTCCTTCCGCCCATCCGTGCGTCCATCTAGTGAACACTCCAAGTACCGCCATTTTGCATCTCCTGGGGCACATGCCCGCTCCACGCGCCCATTATTCCGTCCGTCCGTCTGCTTGTCTGTATGTCTGTCCATCCGTCCATCCATGCGCCCGTCCGTGCGTCCATCTAGTAAACACTCGAAGTACCGCCATCTCCCATTGCGCATCCCTGTGGCTACGTACAACGACGAAAGATGGGCAGACCCACGCCTTAAGAAGCTTGGTCCTTAAAAAATGCAGCAGCAAGAATAGTAATCTCTCCTATCATCACAGAACATACATATGGCTAGTTTTTCGAAAGGGTGCCTTCTCCTTTCTCTCTTTCTTTCACTACAATATCTCCCCCGTCTTAGAATGTTGAGCTGGGCTTTCATATGGGTTAACTTCACTACCGCCGCCCCCCAACCACCACCTTCACAGAAACATCGTGCGCCGCTCGACTCGTTCTGCCGAGCAACTCCCCTCTCCCTTTCTCTCTTTTTTTTGCATTCCTTGTCTCTAGTCTAGTATCCTCAGTTTGTTTCACTTTTCTTCTCATTTTTCTGACAGCAACCCGTCCGGCGAAAATTCCGGTATACTTCTAGAATAATATCTCTGATACCACGTATCCACAAAAACTCCTGTAATTGGGCCAGCGTGCAGCCTAGCGTGACCACTGTCAAAAGTGGGGGGAACACCTCAGGGAGCAGCAATCGCCCTTACGTAATTCAATATTTTCATGATCAACCTGTCGTGAGCCTTGAGCAAGATACCGCACATTAATCACATAATCTGTGCCAACGACATCACCATCTGGTGCCACAGCGAATGTGAGGGTCAGAACGACAGCGTTTTGCATGAGGCCATCGATGTAACTAAGCACTATCTCATCCCTACCGGGCTACCTACGGTGCTCTCGCTAAGTCCGAGTTCTTACTCTATAAGAAGAGGCCCAGAGGTGGTTCTGACCGGTCCTGGACACCGTTTACGGAGAGCCACGTCAGGTTATTGACTGGTAACGGCTCCCCAGTTCGGCGCGTGGACACTATCAGAGTCCTCGGAATGTTTATCGAGTCTAATGGGGCTAACGGAGCCGCCATCAGGCGCATTTGTTCCAAGACCAAGAGTGCCCTCGTGATGATGAGAAGAATCGGAAACAGGCACCGAGGAAGGGAGGGCAATCTGATGTGGATTATCCACGCATTTGTGCTGTGTCACCTTGCTTATATGGCAGCTATGCACAACTGGTTCATGTGGGAGCGCAACAAGATCACCAAAAGTAACAGAATGAAGTAAATTCCTGCGCTCTCCCGTGTTTCGTTTTGATTTTCTTAACGTTTCGCTTGAAATTGTTTGTTCCGTATACCTAAATCAGGACGTAACGCAGCGCGCCCCCGCCATGACAAAAATATTGATTGCTGACTGTATCCTAACATTGTTAAATTATAGTTGTGGTTGTATATTCAAACAACTTTGTGTTTTGAATTCCGGTGTTTGTGAGTAGTAGCATTCATTGTTGAATGTTCCCACACATATGTCGTACCGTGGTTAGCCTTGCGTTCTTGCTTGCTTGCTTCTAACTGAGCTCCGCATCTTGTCTAAAGTTCTCCGCCTGCAACGGACGCGTAAGGGAGACTGGATCATCATGCCGGAACGAATGTCTATGCATTTTAAGCGAATTTTGATAATTTTTTGCTGGCTTTTTAGTCACCAATTTAGGGTGGTATCTAATGGAGCCGCTAAATATAACGTGGGCTGATTACATGCTATTTAATGGTCACCTTCGAATATTCTGTGGTTTCCATTCACGCACGCGACATGTGCGCGTGTTTCTCTGTAAAGAGCTTGGAGTGTGCGTTTACGTGTGCACTGATTGCGAGAGCTTATAGCGGGACCAATACAACGCGCCTGTAATTGAGCACCTCTCTCGCTGAGTCACGTTTGCGAAGCAGATCATATACACCTGTCAGGTCGATATTCTTATAAAAGGTGAAAGAAATCGTGACGCGAGGGCCGAAAGGAAAGCGAGAGTGCATATAAACCATTTGTTATTTTTAACTCAAGACAAATGAAGCTTACCTCGACGTATACCGTCGTACATGGCAAATCCACGGATTGCATTCTATGTTATAGTTGGGCGTCATTGAAGTCTATTATCTGTTATATGTCACAAAGGTGAATAACGAGCTTTTTTTTTCAAGTACGTTCGCTTTTATAAGTGCTTGTCTAGCTAGCAGACCTTTTTCGATCGGTACATTGCAAGGCGTGGCAAGTGCAGTGCGAGAGCTCTGCGCGTGCACGGAAGCAAGGGGCAGCGTTGTGGAGAGACCACAAAACAGAGACGTACATTCCCAGTTTTCATTTTTCTGCCGGAGATGTTGCTGCCTCTCCATAGTCGTAGAACCCCTATTTGATGCTTGGGGAAGCTGTCAGTGGCTGCCACGGAGAAATTATGGCACGTGACCTGGAAATAAAGGAGGGCAAATTGATATGAGGAGTGCAGGCCTGTTCGTGATGATGCTCGCTTCTTTCAGCGATGGTCAAATTACATTGAGTTTCCACATATCTGTGAACAGGTAAATGATGAGAGAGTACGTAGTATATTTTGTTTGTTTATATGCTCAATTTTTTATCTAATCGCTCATTACCCTAACAGTGTTCCGAACTCCGTGTAACACCAAAAATAGTGCATGGTCATGCGGTACATCTTGATGTGGCTACAATGCATTGCCTTTCAGGTGAATCATAGAATTCACATGTAGCTTTTGTAGAACAAGTTGCCTTTAATATGCGATATTTTGTGAGAGTGTATTTTCTATGCATATAATTTTAACTTGCTGTAGGACATGCCTCTAGCACCACATAACTCTTCCGATACCTAATTTAGATTGGGGCTGCCCGAAGCACAGCAAGATATGTGACTTGTTATGCAAACAAAACGGACATCCTTTTGGCTACTGCAATGGTGCTAGCGCTCACGGTGGTTGCAGCTGTTTTGCTAGAGACGGTAAGAAATTTGTTGCTTTTATAAAAACTTGACTGAAACATAGATGGGCTTTTCTGACTGAACACCTTTAATAGAAAAAAATTATTGTCCCTGCACTATAACTTCTTTGGGTGCAATCACCATTTCATGAAGAACTATTCTTACAAGACTACATCGCGCTGAAGAATCAAGACAGACAGCGTGAAAGACGACGTGATTCTGGGATGTGGGGCACGCTTGATATATATATAAATATATATGTATATATATATATATATATATATATTTATATATATATATATATATATATAAATAAATAAATATATATATATATATATATATATATATATATATATATATATATTTTAAATACACCATTACCTCAGTCTCAAATTGCATCTGATAGCCTGCATCGCTCCCTGCTCAGATTTACTCCTTTTTCGATTTTCGGCTTTTCTTTCTATCAACGTATGTAACTGCGCGGTAGTAAACACGGACGACAAGAAGATACAAGGACAAGCGCAGACTATCAACTGAAGGTTTATTTTTCACAAACCACATATATATGACTGAAACAGAAACAGAAAACACGAAAATCCACAAAAACTGATGACTTAGCACTTAACAATCGACAAAACGTGAACGTTTGACAAAAGCAGATTCAAGGACCATGTGCGCCACTTGCCAGATACCGTAGCTCTTTATCTAAAAGAGCTAACGACGGTTTGCTGACGCAGTGTTCTGGTTCCCGTGCCATTTTTTCCGCTTCGACGATCATACGGGTATGATCGTCTTTGTGCCTGAACATTACGACCGTGCTTTCGAACTGCGCAAGGCAGCCACACCTACTGATGTGCTGAGCTAAAAAACCCTCATTGCCAGTGCGCACATTGCGTGCGTGCTCGCGCAGGCGCTCATTTAGGCATCTCCCAGTCTGCCCGATGTAACACGCACCACAAGATAGCGGAATTCTATAAACTACATTCATGTCACATCTGACAAACTGGGTTTTATGCCTGACAGTGCAAGCTTGTTTGGGCCTATTGTTTACACATGTCATTTTGGCTAGCTGAGAGAGCTTGTAAGGTGCCGAAAAAAACGACCTTTACGCCCATGCGCTGACCGAGCTTTTTTATCTTGTGAGATAGCTGGTGCTTGTAAGGGATTACCGCAACTTTGTCACGTTTGCTTTTGTCTCTGTCATTAGTGCTCTCTCTGCTTCTGGGCTTTTTCTTCTTTTTTATTGTCTCTGCCACAGAAATGAGAAGCGAATCCGGGTAGCCAGCCTCTTTCAGACGCTCAACTTGATTTTGGAAGCTTGTTTCCATCATATGGAAACATGATCTGTCCAGGGCATTAGTGAAGCAGGTGTTCACTATGCCTCTCTTAACCAATTTGCTATGCGCTGATTTGAAAGGCAAAAGCGGTTTCATAGCGCGAGGCTCATACATCCAGCATGCGTGATTCACGCTGAACAAAAGTCTCATGTCTAGGAAGCGAATCGAGTTGTTCACTGGGAGTTCATGGGTCAGTACGAGTGGACTCAAGCAGTCACTAAAAACTTCAATTACATCAGATGCCAACCCCATTACTCTAGCAGATTCACACTTAAAAACCACCAGGTAGTCGTCGACGAACCTGAAAATTCTCACAACTTCCTGGCAACTCAGCCGCTCTTTCAAGTTCCTGTCGAACTTCGCAAGCAACAAATCACTCAGAATCGGTGCAATCGAAGATCCTATTGAAACGCCATTATTTTGATAAACATCACTGTTCCATTCTACAAAGGTAGAGGTCAGATAGGTAGCTAGCAGGTCAAGAAAACTGCTAACACTGACACCAGCTGCATTCTGGAACGTTACGTGGCCCATTAGATCAACACATTCTTCTATGCATGAATACAAAGCGTCACGAGGGAGAGAATAATATAAATCTTTGATATCTATGGAAAAAGCACTCAAAGTGTAGTTAGAATACTCTTTGAAGAATTCAGTGACCTCCCTTGAATTCCTGACTAGAAAGGGATCATTAATCTCTAAAAGTTTCAACTTTTTCTGCAAAAACATCCCTAAGGTGTTTTGCCAAGAACCCTTCTCTGTAACAATGACACGAAATGGCACGTCGGCTTTGTGTGTCTTTGCCGAAAAAAACATCTCTAGGGCCAACTTCTCACTTTTTTCTATCTTTTTTGCTATTTCAGACAGGTTAAGCTGCGTGCACAGTTTTTTCGCCTTAGATTTGACTTTAACCAGGTCAATACCACTGCACTTTTGGAAGACGGATGTGACCGCACTTACAGCTTTCTTCAGGTACAAGTCTTTGTTGAGGACCGCGAAGCCTCCCTCCTTGTCCGAAGGCACCACGCACAGTTCGTTGTCTCGTAGATGTGAAATTGTCCTGCTTAAAGGAAGACTACTTGCGTACGGCTTAACTTGCTGCAGCACATCAACTCCTTCAGACACGCACCTGTTACAGTCTTCTTGTGGAGCAAGGCTTGAAACACGTCTCACTATGGCCAGAAGATCCGGTGCGGTGTACTTCTTGTCTACGGCATACTTGGGGCCTAAGCTCAACGTCCGCCGCACGAAGTCTGGAAGAACTACGTCACCACACGTGTGCACAACACCTTTGAAGCGCTGCTTCGCCGCGATTCCAGAGCGTAGCCTCCTGAGTTCACCTGCCCACAGTGTGTCTGTGGTATGCTCGATGCATGCTGTGAACTCTTTCATTCTTCGTCTTTTGATACTGGGACTGACCTCCTGTTGAAGCTGAAGTTGCAGGGCTTCTCTATACAGGCGGGCCTGTCTATTCCACTCTGATCTGAGAATCTTACAAATCCGGAGACCATGGCTGCTGGAGGGGTTGACGCCACCGAATAATCCTTTCACGTCTGAAGGCAGCTGCTTCTGTCGAATGTGGAACGCGAAAGCACGGGCACGGCAGGTAGCCAGTGCGACGAGGGTGATGAGTATAGACGGAAGAAGGGTTAGGGACGAAACACTGCCCGAAGAACTAGAAATGTAACTAATCAAGGTGGACGATTGGGCGAGTTGGTGATTCATGATCAACGTATGTAACTGCGCGGTAGTAAACACGGACGACAAGAAGATACAAGGACAAGCGCAGACTATCAACTGAAGGTTTATTTTTCACAAACCACATATATATGACTGAAACAGAAACAGAAAACACGAAAATCCACAAAAACTGATGACTTAGCACTTAACAATCGACAAAACGTGAACGTTTGACAAAAGCAGATTCAAGGACCATGTGCGCCACTTGCCAGATACCGTAGCTCTTTATCTAAAAGAGCTAACGACGGTTTGCTGACGCAGTGTTCTGGTTCCCGTGCCATTTTTTCCGCTTCGACGATCATACGGGTATGATCGTCTTTGTGCCTGAACATTACGACCGTGCTTTCGAACTGCGCAAGGCAGCCACACCTACTGATGTGCTGAGCTAAAAAACCCTCATTGCCAGTGCGCACATTGCGTGCGTGCTCGCGCAGGCGCTCATTTAGGCATCTCCCAGTCTGCCCGATGTAACACGCACCACAAGATAGCGGAATTCTATAAACTACATTCATGTCACATCTGACAAACTGGGTTTTATGCCTGACAGTGCAAGCTTGTTTGGGCCTATTGTTTACACATGTCATTTTGGCTAGCTGAGAGAGCTTGTAAGGTGCCGAAAAAAACGACCTTTACGCCCATGCGCTGACCGAGCTTTTTTATCTTGTGAGATAGCTGGTGCTTGTAAGGGATTACCGCAACTTTGTCACGTTTGCTTTTGTCTCTGTCATTAGTGCTCTCTCTGCTTCTGGGCTTTTTCTTCTTTTTTATTGTCTCTGCCACAGAAATGAGAAGCGAATCCGGGTAGCCAGCCTCTTTCAGACGCTCAACTTGATTTTGGAAGCTTGTTTCCATCATATGGAAACATGATCTGTCCAGGGCATTAGTGAAGCAGGTGTTCACTATGCCTCTCTTAACCAATTTGCTATGCGCTGATTTGAAAGGCAAAAGCGGTTTCATAGCGCGAGGCTCATACATCCAGCATGCGTGATTCACGCTGAACAAAAGTCTCATGTCTAGGAAGCGAATCGAGTTGTTCACTGGGAGTTCATGGGTCAGTACGAGTGGACTCAAGCAGTCACTAAAAACTTCAATTACATCAGATGCCAACCCCATTACTCTAGCAGATTCACACTTAAAAACCACCAGGTAGTCGTCGACGAACCTGAAAATTCTCACAACTTCCTGGCAACTCAGCCGCTCTTTCAAGTTCCTGTCGAACTTCGCAAGCAACAAATCACTCAGAATCGGTGCAATCGAAGATCCTATTGAAACGCCATTATTTTGATAAACATCACTGTTCCATTCTACAAAGGTAGAGGTCAGATAGGTAGCTAGCAGGTCAAGAAAACTGCTAACACTGACACCAGCTGCATTCTGGAACGTTACGTGGCCCATTAGATCAACACATTCTTCTATGCATGAATACAAAGCGTCACGAGGGAGAGAATAATATAAATCTTTGATATCTATGGAAAAAGCACTCAAAGTGTAGTTAGAATACTCTTTGAAGAATTCAGTGACCTCCCTTGAATTCCTGACTAGAAAGGGATCATTAATCTCTAAAAGTTTCAACTTTTTCTGCAAAAACATCCCTAAGGTGTTTTGCCAAGAACCCTTCTCTGTAACAATGACACGAAATGGCACGTCGGCTTTGTGTGTCTTTGCCGAAAAAAACATCTCTAGGGCCAACTTCTCACTTTTTTCTATCTTTTTTGCTATTTCAGACAGGTTAAGCTGCGTGCACAGTTTTTTCGCCTTAGATTTGACTTTAACCAGGTCAATACCACTGCACTTTTGGAAGACGGATGTGACCGCACTTACAGCTTTCTTCAGGTACAAGTCTTTGTTGAGGACCGCGAAGCCTCCCTCCTTGTCCGAAGGCACCACGCACAGTTCGTTGTCTCGTAGATGTGAAATTGTCCTGCTTAAAGGAAG